CGAAATTTGAGGTGATTACCTCTTAGGGGCAACAGAGGCTAGTTGCGGAATATCGTGAGATGATTGAAGTTAGACATATAAACCATTGGTTCCATTCTCAGTGAATCAAAGATTAAGCACTCAACAGATAAATCTAGAGGTCTTGGGTTAGATCTCTTTCAGGGTATTTAATGGGTACTGTTGATTAGTTTATTATTAAGACGAAACAGAAGAACTGGACGGCCGTTTCGTTCTGTTGTGGGACCTCTCAGCAGTGCGCATCTACGATTTCGCCTAGCAAGATTTCAATCCAGGACTTATCGGTCATGCGCGCGAATGCTTAACCTCCAGATTACTGAGATGAAGAGTTATCGTCAGCACTTTCCAACACACATACCCATTGTACATTTATTTACAGAATGTCATTTTATCGAGATAACCTTGATTTTGTAGAGTATCAACACCGAATTAGGTCAGTGTTAATAAGCTATTCATGTGACCTTACTGTTTGTAGCACCTTTCTTAGTCGAATCATTGACATTTAAACAAAGTGAACGTTAATGTTCGATCCAATGATTTTTTTCTTTTATTGTGCTGTTATAAAATTCAACAATTTGGATCAATACGTATTTGTGTCAGATTCAATAACTTTATACCTGTTCGTCCTGTTACTTGTTTACTCGTTTGTGTTACACTAATTTAACCTATGAGGAATTGTACAAAATGTTTCTTTTTCCCACATTACTTGTATACAGTCAATATATAATGTGTTTTTAAGATGGTAAGATTTGTATTTACGTTGTATGGTTTTAGTGGGGTTTTGTTCTCTGATTCCAGTTGTTTAATGATTAGGCTTTCATTGTTAAAACCCTGAATAGAGAAACACTATGAATACTAGAATTTTTAAAAGTTTTACATTCACGTCAATCAGCAACTAATAAACATATCGAAATCGACCTAATTTATCAACTAATTAGAAAAATCATGGACATCTATGAGGTCTAAAATAAGGTCTAATGAAGTAACAGTCAGTTAGTAAGTTCAGACAACATAGTGCTTGACATAACTGTGCGCTGGTCAAAGTACCCATACCACATTGGCATTGAAAGATAAAAATACCATGAAGAATCGTAAAAGAGATCCCTATCATGTAATAGCAGTTAAGATCAGAAAAAATAAACATTGAATATTAGGAATATGGTTAGAAACAAAATAACATGTAAAGGCATGTATGAAGAAATGCTGAAATTCTAGACCAAAACGAGGACGAAGAGTGAATGTATCTTCACTATTTCGAACAATTCCAAGCTATATCACCCAGATTCTCCAACTGCTAGTCGCAGTTATCACGACAAACAGAATTTGGATCTATCAACATCGCTCAGACTGACAGTCAGTGTACTCATAGACTGATATTTTGTATTGTCTAAGCACTCCTAGCTTTTATCCAACCTAATACTACGTCAATAAGCAAATAGGCGGTGATTAGGCATACCTAACACTTGTCCTTGACACCTCATTAGATAAATATTCCCTACCTCATCGATAGATTTGACATTTTTATATGATACCCTACGTTTAATCCCAGTACTGCCCACTCAGTGCCCTCAGTATACACGAGCAATGAGTTAAAGTTGTTTATCATCAAATGCTAGATCATTTTGAATGCAGCTCAAAGTAAGATATTTGGCCAATAATAAAGTTTTTAAAAGATGAGTGAATGTAATAGGCAGTAAAACAAAACAACATAGAACATCACAAAGCTGTAAATGAATTCATGAAATAATAAAAACTCTGTGAACTGATATTGAACCATTAGAACACTAGACAAATAAATACAATTAAATGAATTTATGTTATAAAATGTACTTCAGTTAAAATCAAAATACATTATTATCGGTTGATGGACACAGAGGTTCTATCTAGAAGAGTTGAAAAACCCTGATTTCAAACCAATAATGTACTTGTGCTCCAGTATCGTGAAGAAATAAATGGCGTATGAACCTATTATTAGTCACCGGCTACCATGGGACTACATCTGACGTTGCTCCATTGCCTTGTGGAACAGGCTCAAAGGATGGCCTCTTTAGGAAACCACTAGCTTCGGTCTGGGCACCCTAGCAGTATCATTAACCACACATAAATCAAAGGACTTATGTGGCACATACGTATTCGGTATCCCTATGTACCCATATTTATGTGTTCAAATAAATAAATCTATATAATAAATAATTCATATTTATTCTATCTACTTAATTGTCATGAAATAGGTTGAATTTTAATACCTCTGAATGAATTCCATTTAATTTAAACTTTGTAATATAAATAAAGCTTAGATAGATTTAATAACTAAAAATGTTTTAAAATATGATCATACATTTAAATGTGGTATATACCGAATCACCTTTTAATTTTCTAAGATCAAGTTTAACAGTAATATAATTGAAAATTAAGTTAAATTTTATTTTAGTTTAGTCTAGTTTATTGGTTAATTTACAAGCTAGTACTATTGTAACTGTTATAGAAATTCTTTAAATTATGTTTCAGGATGAGCGGTCTTAGTCTTGTTTGAAGTTCATCAGTTGTAAATTTATTCATCTCAATACATATATAAATACTAAGATACTAATTAAGTACTACTTGAGGTAATGAAGTCTGATGACAGTTCACCATAAGCTCTCACTCGACCTGTTGTGTTCGAGTAGAGAGTCTTTATAAGAGTAATGTACTTATTTCGTACTCTTTTCATTGACAAACACTGCCACAGAACTACGCTTCAGATTTCCTAGAGCATTTTCAACCTCGTAAAGAGTTGGGGAACTTACATTAACTTTCCATTCAGGTCGACTGGAGATCGTGGGGGATCAAAGTGTGACTGAAGGTCAGTTGAACTGATCCCTAAAATGATCTACCCATAGATCCAATCTCCTGGATCGAGAATGTATAATATGTCCATCTTTCTCTGAGATTGTTTCGCTAGGTCGATTTCCTAATACCGGTTTCCTTAACAAGTCTGAACGTTTGTCTGACTGACTGACTGAGTTAAGTACTTGTCATTTTACAGGACAAAGATCTATCTATTATGTCACCTAGTCTAATTAATAATCAGTTTATTCAACAAGTAAAAAGGTATTTCTGTGGAATAGAAATTACAGGTTCTACACACAATTTTATAGAATACGTTTGAAGCATAACAAGATTCATCACTTTAATTATAGCCAACAAATAACATTTTAGATAAGCTTTCTCTATAAACCATCATTCTGAAGTGAAGTATATTATACAGTCTGTATGCTAAACTAGTTCATTTGGATCCCATCTACTTACCAACACAAATATAAGTATATAAGCAAACAAATTTGATTTTGACAAAAATTAATTATTGTTTTAAACAAATAAGATCCACATAAATCAGTATAAGACCCGGAAATGCTACGATAATCAAATTATGATGATAGTAGTAGACGAAATCTCAAATATAGATCAATACAGCATCATACAGACATCGCAACTGGTAAAATACGTAAGAATAGTCAACAAAGTACTGTAAGCAAGCGATTTTTTCTAATAAACTTATTACACCAACGGATTGGTAGGTGTTTTTTGATTTACATCATTACACCGTAGTTTGTACACACTTACATTATCTTAACTTTCGAATTTATTTTAATAACTAAAACAGTAGGTGGCTCATGAGTCGATTTTAACTTTATAATGACTATTCTTTTCATAGAAGGTTATAAACTTATGTAAAATTATCATACATATTCACATCCTCTTAGTTCTACACCTATACACGTCTGATTTCGCATACTTCTCTACATTTGTTATTTTGTCCAGTGCTCATTCTCTTGTCAAATTAAGCATTACATACTTAAGGTTTTATTAATGCTTGTAATGAGCAATAATCTTGAGTAAGCTGACAAATCCTCCTCCATTTTGTACTTTTCATCATCTATTTGCGTAAACGAATGTCTGAAAAATACTCTTCCAACTCAATTCATACTTTTATTATCACTGTCACCAAACGAAGTTTGTATAATATGACAGGCTAAATGAAAAACTTATTTATCGTTGCTAATTATGCAGTTCAGTTGTGAACTCAAAAATGCATTAAACTGTTTTGATGGTAGACAACATAACTAGTAAAATAATATAAAAATCCCAAAAGTTGTCAAATGAATCATTTAGGTCTGTTACCTAACCTCTACAACCAGCCTTAAAAAAGCTAGTATTTTCGATAAGAAATAACAGTAAGTGCCAAAAAAGGTTTCTGTATCCATGTTTATAGGTTTATTGGTAATAAAACGTCAGTAATCGTTTTTGCTAAATCATTACTTGGACAAACGATTTCTAACAAAACACTTAAACATTTTGTATACATGGTAATAGTTTAGGTTTCCCATATTATTAGACAGCAAAATACTCTAACCAGCACGGAAGAAGGGTCAAGCAGAAAGCAAAATTGGCTTTGAACTCTAGAGATATTTAAAAAAGACATAAATTTTTTATGATCAACTTGATTAAAAACATTACAGTCAGGTTGACTAAAATACATCAAAATATCTTCCAATCAGAGCAAACAACCTTCACTGACCATAATAGCTCTATTTGGCCTATAGAGGCGTTGTAGAAAATGTTAGACTTATAACTTAAGAAAAGTCTGTTTTTCTTTCTTAGAAAATAATTTTAACAGCAACTTGTACATTATACATGCAACAAAAGACTGGAAAATATTGAGGTAGACACACAAACAAGGAAACCAACTTCTATCAGGTTCACTAATAAAACCAGATAATTGATGAGAGTCGACCAGATTTTGAATTACAGACATAAGTTAAGAAATCAAAAACATTAAATTGTAATCATTCTACTGAAATTTAATCTTTTGCCATACTGTATAAAGTAAACCATTTTATCTGCATACTTTTTTTGTTATAACACGGTTCATCATGAGCAGAAGGTAAATAAATCCAATAGAAATTAAACACGAAAATAAATTTATTTGAACAATGGCTCACCTGGAATGGAAGCATCCCAAAAAAACAAAACTATATCAGAAATTATATTCAAATGAATCCATTGATAAGCATTCCCAAATGAACACAGACAAAATATCAGTAGCGAAAACCATCGTCTCTTGTATAGGATGACGGTGAAGCCATCGGCCTCTTTCTTTTGCATTTATCAAACACTGCTATAATCAAATTAAACAAAGTCGAAAATATGAAATAGCACTTAGAAATGTGTGGTGACCGCTTTTACAGTTCATTTGCTGTACATGAAATATAACACTTACTTAGTATCTATTATAATGCATGACCTTACTGGCTTTGAAAGTAATCAGTATACAAATTGTAAATATTTTTAACTTCGAGACAAGTTCCTGATATGTGCTTTGAAGTTCGACATTTGAAGAAAATCAGAAGTAGGTATAGTATACAATAAACATGCTTCTAATACTTCTCTTCAAAAGTCTTGAGTCATTGTTAATCCTCATAGAAAACGTTTTCTATGGAATACAGAAAGATCTGGACACGAACGAGATTATGTTTATGAATAAACAACTGTTTATCAAGTACACGTGCCACGTTTACTTACTTAAGGCGTCCTATTAGAGGCTAACCAATTATGGTTTTAATAAGTGTTGAGGTTATCTGTTGTGTTATCGTCTGTTAAGTATTCAACAACGAAATATAAATATATGACCTATACAAATTTTGAAGCTTATTCAGTCATACGATTAAGGATTCTAGTTTTCACATATATATGTGAGCATTAGCTGACAAATGGCACTCAACTAATCGATTTGACATTTTTAAGCCTTTAGTAGATGAACCCTATGGTAATAATCAAAATAATCACTTGATAATTAAACGAATAATACAAATTTTACTAAATTATAGTACTTCATAGACTTATTTCATTCTAAACGTATAGAGGTTACGAGAAACACTTATTTAATATGACGACACATCCAGACAGTTTAATCATGCTTGTTAGTCAAATGTCTAAGATTTACTCAGATAACTTTACCATGTTGTGTATTAATAATAGCTATGATATTCATATGTTGATTTTAAATGAATTAGTCATCCAGCATAAAAAGCAATACAAACATTCACATGTCTAAATATGAATCAACATTTTTAATTTACCCAAACCCAATGTTAAAGTGAGCTGCTTTGTCAAAGAATGATGTAAAATACGAGGGGAAAGTTCATTATTACTCAAATCAACACACATTTTGTGCGTTACGATATAGCATTCATCACACAGAAACTATATCTGCAATTTCAGAGGTCATTTTAAAAGTCCTCGCACGATAAAATATAAACTTATTCGATCTAAATGCTGAAAATTTAGGTAATGTGCAAAAACAGGTTTTTTAAACTGTCTTCACTTCGACAAAAAAGTAGCTTGTACAACTTGTAGTAAACTGGCACAGTCAATATGAAAATTGACGCTCACACTTGACACTGTAAATGCCCGTACCTGATTCGTATGACGGTGACATGAAAGCTGCTCAAACCAAGCACTTATAGGCAACAATCACCTCACTATCTTTGTTGATCGATTTAAACACGTTATACCGATTCTCTGTTCATCTACAAAAATACAGGACAAGAAGTTTTGTTTAATAATTCAGACCCCTTAAAACTATTAAATTATCAGATTTCAACCAAAAGGTATAGACAAAATACTGGTGTCAAGCATTTTTCTACTGAACAGGATTAGACGGATAAAAAGTACAGCACATACAAAAAACCCGGCATCTGAAGTACCTCACCCGACAATTGGTTCTGATTGGACTTAAGGGTCTGTAAAATGTCATTAGGACCTCACAAGATCACCTGCCAAGCGGAAATGTTACTAGATTAAACGAGACGTCACTGAGTATTGAGTCAGTGTCAAGGATGACTCCCACGAGATAATATTGGTGCATCATTGAATGACACAATGCAAAGAGCCTTGACAAAAAACTTCTACGGTCTTTTCCTACAATACATTTCCCGCGTAAGATCATTTTTGTTCCTGCTAGTCACTGAAGGAGTCGATTCTGCTGGTTAAAATTAAAAAATAGGCAAGGCTGAATGTTAACCACGAGGTTTGAATCCAACTCAACTTAAATGAAATTATACCACTGTTTTATAAACGAAAGAAACTGAGTGTTGGCGATGACCATCAAAATTGTTGACGTACAGGAAGATTCTTAAACTGACATGTTCTACTTTGCGCTGTACGACAAGAACTTTTTCCTTACAAGTACATTATTTTAAATCTAGGTAACATATAGTACAAAAAATCTCTTTGAAATTATGAAATTTTTGAAAGCTTGGCGGAGAGTATCAGAGAATATATATGTATATATATACATGTATATAGGTTGCTTGTGAATAACCAATAGGTATCCACTTTCGATGTCGTTGACAAAAGTTCACTTGCAGAAAACTTCTAAAAGATTGAACATAATGATAAGGAGTAGTGGAAAACAAGGCGACTTCTCATAGCAGTCACTACATACTCTTTAATCACGTAGCTGACCATTCACATATATTCCCAGTCTTTTGTGACGTTATAATGTGGCAGGATAAATCAGTATATTATTGCAAATAATTTACATATTGGTGTAGAAGCATGAATAAAATTTTATTGGAAACAAATATACTTTTTCTCCACTTGTCCTTTTGTTAAATATCTTGATATCAATTACCATTCCACCGCTAGTTTTGTTTGTTCATATTCCCAAGTCAAATATAGTCATCTCTATCACTGTGATAAATATTTACGGATTTGTTGCTTGATGTGAATCATTAGAAAGAATGTCAAGTAAAATTTAGTATACCAGCCATTATTGTCATTATTTTCAAGGCATTGTTTCTATTATCGTTAGCAAGCGGTTAGACCTAACCTAGTTTGGCCTAACCTAGTGGTCAGATTAAGATGCAGCTTCAGTTCCCTATGTGAGGTAGACTATTCCATTCGAATGAGTGAGGGATAACTAACGTCGAAACCACACCTCCCGTTTAGTACCTGACGTATATTACCCTTTCATCGTATCCAGGTAATGTGGTTGAGTTGGTGAATGTACAACACAAACGACATTATTGCAGTATTATATTCGTAAGAGTAGGAACAAGAAACTGTCAGACCATCTCCTCACTGACTAGTCCATGACGTTCAACTTACTGATCCGCATTGATTGTCCTTGAAACTGATGGGTATCAACAAACTTTTCGAAGTTCAGTGACCCGACTGCCAGATGAATTAGCTACAACAGAGCGACATTTCACTGGCCCTATAATTATTACCACCAAGTCTGTAGTGGCATTGGACAATAGCCACACAATACACAAAGCTGTGAACACGAGACTACTCAGAAAATAGATATTCAATATTTAACGCGGAGAAATACCTAACGATGGAGAAGGCGCGAACAATCAATTGAATGGACTGGGTTTGATCGGATGGCATGGCTCGGCCATGCAGGCGTGGTCCATCTAAATGTTACCTTATATCTTCTATTCATATTAAATATATTGTTCCTTCTCTAGCCTAACCTTGTTCTACATCATGTATTGGTAATTGATACGATACAGTGAGTTGGCGTAGTCGATGGTGTAACTTCCAAGTAAGATCTTATAGATTAGGTAGTTATATCATGACAAATCTACAAATTTAGGATTAGGTCTATTATTAGAGCAGCACTAATATCATAGTAGACCATATTTCTACATTGGTAAGCCCGACTAAAGAAACGCAACCTATTACAAATAATCCTTAATTCCACTTTAACTTTCTCGATCGATTTTATATTTATGTTAACCCAATATTCTAATAGTCCTCTGATTGATGCTCACATGTATTATCGTAATGTTATATTGATTAGTTCTCATAACATACTAGCTCAATCGATATTAAGAACTGGTCGTCTATATCAACTAATTAGCTTTGATGGTTCGTTAACAAGCTTTAATAGCATTTACATGCTTCAGCGACATAGTCTTGTTTAAACATCAAGCTCTAGCAAATATGACCTGTAAATAGCGTAAATATACATTGACTAACAATGCAACCAAGGACTAAATAGTTATCTGGATCTTATTCTCAGTGTTCCTTCACTTAACACCTCATCCTGTTTTAAACTATGCACTATCCTGTAATATCTTTTCTTCCGACCACTGCCTGCCTAATTTCATATTCTCGAGTTCCATTGCCAAACAACAAGGATGACACCTCAAAAAAATACGGTGAGTTCCAGCTATAAGTTTTCTGCAATCATAAGTTCATTTTAGATGGCTCATTCAATGGCACACACAATTATCTGGATTCATTCAGTTCTGATCAGAGCGAGTCCCAAAAACCTCAACAGCATCAAGCACCCTGGAAGTGATTGCCATACTGCATGTTTTATTCTGGATGCTTTTGGATCATTACTACTCACGAATGGCGTTATATATGTCGTCCACTGAATAATCTAATTTTCAAAAATAATCCAGGCGAGTTCAACTATTTTACTTAATGATTTTTTTAACTTAACATGTATATGTTTTCCGGTTCCTTTTGCTATATATTTGTAAGTGTCCCTAGGCTAAATGCAGTAACTTCTTATGGAATGTTTATAACGCATCATATTCCTGCCTGAAGTTTCACAAGCAGTCTAAACTTTAAAATTATTTTCTGGTCATGTTCATTATTTTTAAATCGACCTATACGTCAACAACCTGCATGTTAACCTGGCCCATACATACGTTACACTATATCTCCATGTCTTCTAAATTTAGAAATCATCTGGATCGCCTTTAACATTTATCAATAAACCCATCATAGTCGTTGTTGCTAATCGTATTTGGGTTTATGGATTGGTTTATCATATTAGCAGCCTAAAATGCGAACATAGTTTAGATAATAAGATTAAAAATTTAGGTACTATCAACTGCACTAGTAAAATAACTAAATCCCAGGTAGCTGTTGGCTAAACAAACGTTTAAAATCAAAACTCCGTAGCCTACTAGAATTAACACTAAACGAATATTTCTGAATTGAAATTTATAATTAAATTAGGCGTCTCGGATTCTTTAACGTTATAAATTTCTGATGATTTCGAATCACCTAAAGCAACAATACCTATTTTTCCACTGACTAATCCTCAATCAACACTATAACTAGTTAAATTTAATAGTTTCAGGATATCGTCATAAAGCATTGTCATAACTTGACAATCACGTAATATGACTGATAAAATTAATGAAACTATTAACAAAATCGGTCAACAAATTGACTTATAATTACCATTAAATGGTGTTGTTTTCTTGGTATCTTCATCCATCACAGATGATTACAGTATGTTTCTCTATCAGTTGCTCATTCAGTAAATATCTCAAAACCTTGTCAGTCTAATTGATGGTTTAGCGACACAATCATGCATGCAAATAATCAGTATAAGCAGTCGAGCAAATCTCCTGCAAACTGAAAACATCAATGTCGAATTTACCCCAACACTGACTAAGGTTCAAGCCATTATCATAGACATGAGTTGGGAGTGTACTCCCCTGGTTACAACTTATGTTCTCCCTGATAATCACATGAGCATCACTCACTATTAATCATCTTGTAAAAACTTATTTAGCTAAATACATCTTGCAGCACCACATCACTTCGTAATATGACACAGGCCTAACTGATTTTAATAACTTATAACCACTATATCTCAATTAAATCGTATTCCGCCTTATGATAAACTGCATACTTGCAACTAACTTGTATGCCCAATCAGCCAGCAAGTATAAATATAAATAAATAGTCTGCCGCAGATCAGAACATTGAGTCCAGAGCATGTCTCTTACGAATACACTCATGTTTAACGATTTGTTCCTAGCTATCTGTCCAAAATTCATATAATTATCACTCATGTATTTAAATTTTATTTTGATAACCATTCATGTGTATTAGTAGTATTACTAAATTCTATCACGGTCAAGTAAAAATGAGGTTGAGAAAATCTCCCCGTAACTAAATAAACCGTATCAAACTAACTGGAACACTAGTTGGAATTCTTCTCCACGGTATACTTTTGTTCCTTCAGTTAGCCTACTAATACAGATGCAATTGGAATTCAACTCATATGGACAACTTACCGGCATAATCGTTATTTGATTTCATAATTTAAACCAAAACTAATACCAATATTAACATTTCTACAATATTCATCACTTTAATATTTCTAAACACAAAATACTTACTACCTATACGTTAAGTTATTAACCAACGGCTATTAACACGCATCGTTTTATTATTATTATTATTGTAACCCCATTTTTTATAGCTCAAATAATCTTCACCCAAATTTTCATTTCAAGCGTTTTAAGCATGAAGGCAGATATTTTAAAATTATTACATGTATTTCCCGACCAGATGCTGCCGCCTTTTTTATTTATCTTTCAGCTTACCAATACCCGGAGGATTCTTATTATCCTTGGTAACCCCCCACGCGCGACGATCCCATCCAATTTGGTAT